CTTTCTCATTATTTGAACAGTAATTTGTTATTTAGTACTAAGGTACCTTGCTCAGTTGCGTTGTTTCGTAGGCTCCCACAATTTTATACCAATTTGAACAACTTACCATTCGTGATGAACGAAAAGAATGGTATTGGAGAGTCTAAACCGAAACGGAGCCGGCGCCAGGGAGAATCTGCGTCTGAGATGTCGGACTTACGTATACTGTTGAATTTCTAGCGGTCGGTAAAGTGTTAATCGTTTTAATGCCAGGGGTTTTTAAAAATCCGTATAGGATTGTACCATGCAGCGTGATAGCGCTTCGTTCATTTATTTGCGAGAAATGCCGATCGAGGTGATCGCGCTGCTCTTTTTTTTTCGTTTATGCAGGTGGTTTAAAATTATTTGAAAAAAGAAAAGTAATTACGAGAGGAAACTCTGTTATGACTCGCGACGAGCTACATTCGGAACCGATCGCGTTGCGAATTGACAATCGTGACCAAGCATCGCGACACAATTTACCACAGTACACGAACAGCGCGATCGCGCTGCATGACGCTAAATCGGTTAAAACAAAATCTCTGTGTGTGAGAACACACGTTAATTCTGATAACCTTTACAACGTCCCAAAGACGTAGAACATTATGCGAAGAAGCGGTGAGCTTTATGGACGCGTTTGGAGAAGATAATGGGTCCCTCCCGTGTACGTTAGATCATCTTGTACGGTAGTAGACCCGCCAGCAATCTCGACACTTTGCATCTGTGCCCAATATTCCACATGGTGGAAGGGTAGTGGCAGCCATTGCTGTCTTATGTCTCGAAGACAGCTCACCTACGCCGGGCCAGGATGACAAACGCTGCCATCTAAACAAAGGGTCTCGGGATATACGCAGCGCAGACACGCAATTTCCGTGGCATGTAAATCGCGCGAAATGAATTTCTGCCAATCACGCACGTGCGTCAACGCCACAATCATTGCTAACCTTACCGTGTGTCTGGGCATCTATCGTTTGATCGAAAAAAAAAACACAAGCTCTGTGGACGCTACCTTTATTCTGAATTATGACTAAACCACGGATTTTCATGCAAATTTAAACTTTTATGGTCCCAAGAATCCAAATTTAGATGGAAGTTCCTTTTATGTGTCAAAAATTATAACGAATACTGTACTTTGGATATTTGATATAATTTTGTATATTATACGCATTCTGCGTATTTTTGCCACTTTAAATTTCGCATAAATGCATAAATGCTTAAAAATTCACAGTCGAATTATCACACTCTCGATACGAAATTCACTTTACCATCAACATTTATATAAGAAGCGTTTTTTCCCGTAGTAATAACTCAAAAAACTGCAAATTTTTCGTTACGTCGTTTTTGCAGCAAATGAACGGTATCATCGAGCTTCGATCTTGTGAAATCTGTATAGGAGATACAGATAGAAACAGCTGAGGGGTAACATCGGGTTATCAAGACAGTATTCTCTTTTTTTTTTCGCGCATTCATCCGAGCTGTCGATTTGGTACGCGTGAATCGCACATGCCTGCTCGATGGCCCGATGCTTCCACGTTTGGGTGATTGATGTTTGCCGTCGTTTCACCGACACGACTACATAAATCAAAGGGCGCCCTTACTAGCGCGAACCCTTTTCTTGCCGCTCATCTCTCTTATTCGTTCTCTTTTTATACTCCGATCCACTCGGTAAGGCGGCGGGGTTGCGTTATCAAATCCGTCGATGACAGACGAGAACGTATTAAATACCGAACAGGACGAGCACATCGATTGTCGTCAGAGGGATGAAAACGGTGAGAAGTAAACGAACGAGCGCGTGCATCATCCCCGAGGCTCCTCACGATTCAGATATGTTTTCTCCCTTTCTTCGCTGTTCCCCAGCCTCCTCGCCGATTATGCGTCCCTGGGCGCTTGTTCTTCGCGTATTATTCGCTTCTACGAGGGTACTAGCGTGCCTGCTTCTGACAGTTTCGTCGCGGATACTGTAATTTTGGAAGGCAACACGTGGGGCAAGAATGTTTCATCTTAGGTTTCGGGATAAGTTCTTTTATCACGAAAGGTGATAAAATTTGTGAGTGGAAGTTTATTGGAAAATTTAAGATTAATTGGAATGTTTAAGAGTAAAATTTATATTTGAGATAATTTTTAAGATACTTTTAATATCTTTGTTATAAAAATTGGAAGTCTCTCTTGATCTCTGTTTGATAATATTCGTCGTAATAAATAGTTACGAGAGATCAATAAAATATGTAAATAAATTAGGACTTCAAATAGGCTTCAAGTTGTAGTTGTGCAGTACCGATCGCTCTGAGATTTTTTGTTATATCTTGGACTAGAGTCGGCAAAAATCGACATTTAGAAAATGAGTTCGTAGTATAAATGAAACTTAATGAAAGCAGGGAAATTAATTTTATGATATTCAATAATAAGAATTGATAATTTGCAAGAGCAGAAATGTTGTAATTTATTGGGAACGAAAAATTGTCGGCTAGTACCGATCAGTTATGTAATTAGTAGATTTTTCGGTTTAAATGATTAATAATGTTAGAAAAGAGACATTTAAAAATTAAAATATACATTATTATTCAAATTTTATTCTAATATACATCGCAAGTACAATAATTAATGTTTTCTTAGTCTTAGTGTATTCGAATGTAGCTGTGCCTAGCTTTTACATTCATCGTTTTTGGAACATTCAAAGCCTCAGCAGCCTGCCTTTGGCTCATTTTATTTTCGAGGAATAGCTTCAAAGCCACATTCAACATTGTTCTCGTCTGTCAATTTTCTTTCCTTCTGTTTTAGACAAAAGGTAAAAAAAAAGTAAATAAACATCTTCTAATTTAATTTCAATTGCCAACAAATTAAATTAACAGATAAAAAAGTGTAATCTGTACTAGTCGATGGCTGAATGATCGGTACGAGACAACAAACACATGGAAATGTTTAGATTATAATGTATATAATATACACAAAAAATCGCAACACTGGGCCTGGCAATTAGTAAACTAGTTATAGTAGACATAACAGAAAAAAATCATTTACTTAACTGAGAAAGAAAATATCAGCTCTAGAAGATAACTTTTTACACTCGAAATATCAACGTATACATTTAACCTGTCAGAAGAGCGAAAACAATGGCATAAACAATATGACTCCGAAATATGTTACACAGAATTATTATTTTCATTTGTTTATAACAAATAAAAGTGTACTAGCATCTGGTGAAAAGAGGCAGAACTAATTTTGGTTGGAACTGTGTGCCGGTCATTGCCGCACGACTCTCCGCTATACAAAATATTATATTTATGATTTCTAGTTTTTTAAAAAGTCCGCACAAGAATACAAAACACACGATGAAAGAACAAAATAGCAATTAATCACGCGCGATAGTAATAAATGTGTACGCTACAAGTGACGCAGCTGTTAAAACTGCTGCTCATTGTATTTCATGCAAGGGATGCACGTACAAAAGGGTGGATTCATTCGTTTCTTGCAACTCGTGCAGCTTTAGCCCCTCTTTTTACGTCTACATCGTATTTCTTGTCAAAAATGATGTATCGATAGAAATGGCAGTCAGGAATACGCATTCGAAAATAAATGTACACAATTCGAATAGTTTGCGAGTAATTGAAATTTTCATTATAACAAGCTACGTAGATAATACGAAAAATGATCATAAAAAATTATTCGATTTCCAAATAATATCTTAAATTTGATCTGTTAGTGGTTAAATTTCATGATTTCTTAAATTGAACATTGCAAATGTGAAATATTCTAAATATTGCTTCCCCGTAAAAATTGAAAATAGATTCCAAACTTAACACTCATCAGACTATTTGTACGATTGGGACATTCTAATAGAATTAAAAAAATAAACTGTCTTCGAATGATCGATCCTAAAGACAGAACAGCAGAGTCTGTACTCTCTCAGATAAATAGTTCGCTGACGGGAAAAGCGGACAGAGCTCTTATACGAATTGGCTGAATTCCAAGGACTAAGTCGGCAGAAGCAGGACCTTCTTTCTTTGTCCTTGCTAGGTTCCTTTCATCTCTGACCGGGATCTCTTTTAGCTTTAGTTGAAGATCTGAGGAATAGTTGAGAGTTCGGCCGATAGTTGAACGAAGCGGCATTTCATTCCGCTGGAAATTCCGCGAAACATATAGGCGACCGCAATAGAATCGCTGGAGACTTCAATCTTTATCGGTGAATCGGACGCGAAATATTGCGAACATTCGCGAAATTCTTCTAGGCACGACGACCCACGCACTGCACAGACTTTGTTTACGAACGATGCGAACGCGAAACGTTGAAGTCGAAGTCTTCGTTTACGAATCGGTGGAGATCTGAAAGGAAAACTTTCGAGACGGGATGCCGCGTGCTCGTTTCCTTGCGAAAATTCACGAAAATTCCCCTCAAAGATCCCGCCATTGCGTCAATCTTTGTGCTTTAACATCTCTTTGCAAGTGTTGAAAAAGAATTTATATTTGATGTCGCATTTTGTTCGTGATATTTCGTATACTATATTGGAATAAACGGTGCGTTTTTGGCAGTGAGGATGCGTCCGAAACTTAATACGAGCAGATAGTTCGAGCAAAAGCTCTTTCGGAAAATTGTATTTCTGTTTCTTGAATAAATTCTCTAATTTTAGTGTGTTACAAGTTTTATTTGATGAAATTGGACGTAAAATTGGACGAATTTTTTTATATGCGTATATGATTGCACATGGTTGAAAGAATTATAGCGTTAGAGTAATAAATTAAGAAATATTATTAGGTCGCCCAAAAAGTTTCTTTCGAATTATAAGGAAATAATGGATGCACAACATTTTCCATTTTATACTATTTTATCGAATTACGTGTGATCCATTTTGTCTTATCAAAATAAAGACAACGTTCGACAGATTAGGTTTCATATTTGTATAAAGATGCGTCGTTGTAAAAGACATATCTATAAAAGAAAGACACTTTTCGGACAATCTAATACATCAAATAATTATTTAACTTACGTGTTTTATTTCTAACCTTCTTACTTTCGTGTAAAAAAATTGCTAGCACTAGTAACTTGTAATTTGCAACTAGTAAAAATACTGTTCATAATATTATCTCAAGTGTAATATTCGTGAAACGTATACCTGTATGTAAATATCTAAAACAAACATTCTATCGATTGGAAGTTACGATGCAGATAATTGTCTTAATAGAACGCAATTATGCACGCCACATGTATGACGAGGTTCTGGCATTTGTTTGACGGTTGACGTATCTCGTAAGAGACGCTATTATTTTTTAAAAAGATATGATGCATTACAAGTGCATCGATAGCTAGGCATTCTTGACATAATAATACATTACGATGTTCGAGGGATAAAAAATGCAGGAAATTACTTCTATACAAATGCCATCGTTACGTCGTATTTCTAAAACACAGGTGTACCTCATTAGCATTTGTTAATTAGTAGACCGCTATTCATTAGTTTCGTATAAATATGTGGCAGTTTTTTTAGTGGATCAGTTGATTGCACGCAATTAATAACACGAAGCAAACATGGTTTCGAAAGTTTTGTCCTTCCTGCTCATTGCCTGTATTTTTGGCACCGTCATCCAGATGAGTTTTGCCGGCCCATCCAACTCATCTGAGACAGCCGTCTCATCCAAGTCATCCAACTCATCTGAGACAGCCGTCTCATCCAAGTCATCCAACTCATCTGAGGCATCCGCCTCATCCAAGTCATCCGAGGCACCCGCCTCATCCAAGTCATCCGAGGCATCCGCCTCATCCAAGTCATCCGGCTCATCCGAGTCATCCGACTCATCTGACTCATCTGACTCCTCCGATTCATCCGCTTCGTCCGAGGTATGAAAATACGTACAAAATCGTACACCTAAGCTTCTACATCTATAACTTTTTTATTTATTAAACAAATTGTGTTTGCGGACAAAATAATTGTATTTATTAAATGTTTTCGTAATAAACATAAAATACCAATAATAGTATCCAACATTTTATCATAAAATAAATGTTGCATTCTGTTCCTTTTACGTTAAAAAAGGACTAATATGTTTGTTTTTTATTTGTGCAGTCAGAGGAAAAACCGGCGGTAAAACCTGCAGATAATCCTAAGAAACCTGGTGGTAAACCTGAGGATAAGGACAAGCGAAAACCACAAAAACCGCCCACCAAACAGGAAGGTAACCTCGCAAAGACTATTATTCTCCAAGATATCGTAGGTCTTCAAAAAATTGAATTCTTTTTTTCTTTTTTTTTAATTTTCTTACAATTTCTGGCGCAAATGGTTATTAATGTAAATGTTACGTACTTTCTGAACAACCCAGTAGAAGAATCACACGTGACACTAATGTCGCGTTAGGTGGTCGACTTACGTCAAATATACCGATAAAACATCTTCTTTACAGAAGCTGAAAACAAGACTGTGATCAAGAAACTCGAGATCGTGTTACCAACGATTCCAACTTTCTCCCCGATCCCAGGACTTAAATCGAACGTCGACAAAGCTAAAGACTTGGTTGCACGCCGTTTGAACAACGGAGGCAATTTTGTCAACGCCGTTGCGAACGGTATAAGGTTGGCAGTCCGTGCTGCTAAGCCTATCGTAGCCTTAGGCGACTTGATCAGTAAAATTATAAGGGCATTCGCCGAGGTAGCATCATTAAACCCAGTCCGAGTCGGAGCTTTTGTTCTTCAGGAAGGTGTGAAAATTGCCACAAGTATCTTGTCCGCATCCACTCCTATTCTGATAACTGGAACTGTAATGGTTGGACGTTAAATAATCAATTACAATGTATTATAGTAGAACATTTACTTTATATGCAACTATGTATTAGTTTTGATTGTAATTATATTTACGCATCATAAAAATGTTTGTTGTTCTGTTTCTTTCATACACCTTGTGAGACTTTTTAGCGACGCTCATAAATGAATATGAAGATACCTGATATCGTTACTTTTTAAAAGTGTTTAATTTAAGGATTATTGGTACTTTGACTGGAAAAATATTGGATCCTTTAAAATAATTAATATTTTGTGCGATCTTTTTCTTCTTCCGACAACAATAGTTTTTTCGGGGATTTTGTAAAATAATTTTTCCAAAAATTTTTTTTTTTTTACTATTTATCTAGTACTTTGCTTTTAATGTTTAAATAAATTAAATCAACAAATTATTTACGTTCTTTTAAATTGTTATAATTTTTATGATTTTTAAATAGTCATTAGAACTCTATTTAATAAAATATATGTAAAAAGTCTAAGTTTGAAGAATAATTGTTATCGATATAAATGATATTGAGTGATACATTCATATCAACTATTTGCTATGCCTTGTCAAAGCATTAAACACGTTCGTATTTTTTCAAATGAAAGTATACGATTTAGACATAAAAATTTGGGTACAGTTAACATTCAGGATCAACGTCTCTTTCAGCGTGCAACAAAAACGGAAAGGTAAATATGAGTTTTCACGGTCGCTGACCGATTCATCTCTCGGTTCTCCTAACAATCTGTTCCCACCTCATAAAATTGTCATCGTGCGTGCATAAAACATGAGGAGACGTTCAAGCACGCAGTAGTACATCGCGAATCTACACCTGAAAATATAAGGAAAGATGGTATATACATAGTACACTATTGCTCAAAAGTATCAACATCTCTAAGTTTTACATCTAATTCGTAAAGAACTTTTCCAACGCGGTTCGTGCATACGACACGTATGATTCTTAATTCATGTTCATCATGTTTCTCTTGCGACGCTTATAAATACTTTTTACGAACTTTCACATGGTTATTCTGCACGAGTGCAAAATCCTGATCGCTTAATCATACAAACGATTACTTATGCGAATTACCGCGTTTTATACGAAAACAAAAAATATCGTAATACTTATGAACGGGAGTGTATGTGGTAGCTCGCGGCATTGAATGCCTACAGGGTTGTCGATGAAGACTCCAGAGGTTTACGTTCGACGACAGGAGGCAACCTGAGGGAAACGAATGGCGCGGGAGAAGGAAAGGGTCGTTCGAGCGCGTATTTCCACCTTGCCGCCTCCATCGTGAACGCTAAAATACATTTTCCTACGAAGTGTCGTCACGGGAGGGCCTCCAGCTGCTGGTCGTGATATTCTACATGCGTAATGCTCGCGACGATATTTCCATACATAAATTTCATCCGGAAGAAAGTGGGCGGCTCAGTGGTTGCACGTCGACGCTGATGACGCGTCTTCGCGACGTGCTCGAGAATCCGTCCGTTGATCGCGGTTTGCCACCAGTTATCACAATCATTATTCTTTGTTTCGTGACGTCTTTCAGAAGGGTTTTGTTATCGTGGATCAGAACCTCTACGGGCAAATATTCTACAGCGATACAGCGTAAGTATTCGTCCTTTATCCTTTAAGGGAACGTGATACGGTATAGGTATCTTAATACCTTATTTTTAGATAAGTATTCCGGACAAAAATAGTGAATAAACAGAATATACATATATTCCAATAACTATTAGATTGATTGATCTTCGTTTTCCTGTCCGATTTTATTCGCGGAGAGGCTCGTTCGCGATATATCGCGTCAATGACAGTCGTAATTTCTCGTTTTGACACGATAATCGACGCCACGAATCGGCCGATCGCCTATTTCGGTTAAAATAAGAGGGGTGGTTTGAATGATATTCACACTGAGTTAACAATTAAAATATCGTTTAATACTGGGTTATCAATTACAATATTTTTGAAGAATATAAATGTCTACGAATGTTATGATAATGTAGAAGTGTTCTTAACGAATCATTATTTGGCGACGATGATGTCGGAGAGGAAGGATGGGTGGTCGCTGCCCCCCACCAAAGGTCACTTGCCGGTGGAAGCGGTCATTGAGTACCTCTTACACCATGTTTCACCGTAATGAGCAATAACTCTAAGGAGTGTCCCAATTTTCAGTATGTATTGTATAATTTAAGAGCCTCCACAGTAACAAAAATTTCTAAATCTTAAACAATTAACGATTCCTTCGGGGTTCGTACAAATACGTCTAAGCAGACGTTGGACATCTTTGCCGTAGAATGGATTAGAATATATGATAGGGTCACGAGACGTAATATTTTCATTGTATATGCATTTCCGGATAGATTCTAAAATTTATTTTAAATATGTATATTATATGGTCGGCACAACAAACATAAAAAGAAGACTAAAAAGGAAGCACCCAACAGGTCTCACGAAGGACATAACCCAACATACACTTATCACACTAAAAAAATAAATCAATCAAATTCGAAGATGGTATCCCACTGGGGGTAGCCATCCATATGCTATATTGCTATACCACTAAGCTATAATATTTTACCAAATGTCCTACTGGACAAATTGTAAAATGTAAATATATATATAATAACAAAAAAAACATTTTTATGTTTATCGTCAGTCCGTCGGATTTGACATTTCCATTCGGTCGTGACATTGATTGTCGTGATTTCTCAAAAAATGTTGATTTATTAAAGAATTGTCGACATTTGAAGAAGTATCGTTGTAATTTATCTGGAACACCTCGCCATTTATACAAGAATTCTGGAGATTCGCCCAAGAATTTCCAAAATGAACATCTAAATTCTCCCCAATCGACCATGAATTGTGATTATTCGAGGACACATACTCGCCATTCGTCCTCGTATACTCGTTATTCGTCATCGAATTTGTGTTATCAATGCACGTACTCTCATCGTTCATCCACAATTTTTTCTCGTCTATCCACGAATTTAGTCCAGTCGTCCAGACATTCACACCAGTTGACCACGCATTCTCGCCAGTTGTCCACGAATTTACGTTCGTTATCGAGGAATCCTGGTAGTACGATGGAATCCACTCAGGCACTTCGTCGCTGGTTTCGTAGCTTTTTGTTTCCTGTGTTTCTCCTGGAACTAAATGTGAGCAAGGATTTTAATGATTCTACATTATTTACGGGCAGACATTTAAACGATGACAGTTTATTTATGAACAAAGACTCCAATGAAATTATTATAGAATAACATATTAATGACGTGCATCATCGAATTGAAATAAAACAAAAATGCGCGATATGAATTTTATGAATGGTTTATTAAAAGCCATTACTTTCTTGTTAGAGAATGATAAACTCGTAGTTTGAAGGACTCGATGATTGACCCAAATTACTGATAGTTTGTGTCAACATATTGATAGTCACAAATTTACATCTAAATACACATAATCGTGAATAAACTGTGAATGTTTATGCATTTATTCTGCATACATGCTTTTTTTATTGCACGTATAAAAATAAGAATTCCTAAACATTCGCAGTCTAGTCGTAATATTAACATACCTGTCACGGGCTTTTCTTTGGGAAAGAAAAGTGCAAGAACACGATCTCTTAGTTTCATTGGATCTGTAGGGCCCACTGCGTTGTTCTCCACGGATCTCGAGGTGCCTTCAGGATCCGAATCCTGAAATCCAAGTGGTGGAGCGCCCGGCATCATGTACGAAGGGTTTGGCATAATTGGTGTTTGTTGATTAGAATCTGGATTGTAATTCTCCATCAAGCCGACCACTAAGCGCGTTATGTTAAATAAACTCCACACGTTAGTTTCGAAAACGTGTTTATACAAGTCAGCAGAATGTGACTTCTTGTTCTTGAAATCGTAGATATTTTCGTTGTCAACAACCCTAGCGGAATTAATTAGCACGCTCACGACCCCGAATTTCGTCTTCGCAGATTCAATGCTCTCTAATACGTCCTTGTTGAACTTCACCTAAAAAGTTAAAAAATATCATACAATTATTCATTGCGAAAACATTACGTACTATTGTTAATTCAGAGTTTTGTTAAAATATGAACATTTTACAACGTAAAATTTCTATCGGATTACTTGTATTTTGATCGTTTTGTCGTCTTGTTAATTATCTTATAGAGACATTACTATTATATTAGGTTGATTTACATCAAATAAAATTTGAAATCCACCTAGTTTCTTCTGATATATAAGTATAAATATAAACAAATTTCCTTCTTACTCAATGTACTTTTGTTCGACCGTATTCTCGGGGAAAAGCGTTCGCGGTATAATGCGTCAACGAAGGTCGTAAGTCGTCTCGTCTCGATAAGATAATCGACGCCACGAATCAAACACTCGCCTATTTGAGTTAAGAGAATAGGGGTGGTTTGAATGATATTCATACTGAATTAACAATTAAAATATCACTTAACACTGAGTCAACAATTGAAATATCAACATAGAATTAACAACTAAAATATCGCTTCACATTGAGTTAAAAATTAAAATATCAACACTGAGTTACCAATTAAAATATCACTATTTCCAACAACTTTTGATTACTACAAGTATCTACGACTGTTGCGAATGACAAGTGTAAAAGTGTTCTTACCGAACAGCGGAAAGCAGGTGACACTCAACCGAAGAATTTTCGTCAAATAATGTTCAAGTAAATGATGTCGGACTCTTAATAACAGTCATCCCCCACCATAAGTCCCTCTCAGGGTGTAAGAGGCCCTGCAATACCGCACAGGGAAAAGATCACTTATCCCATGCTTTACCGTAATATAAACTTTAGGTATGCATTGTATAAATTCAGGATCTCTGCAATAAGAAAAATCTCTAATTCTTAGGGTTTATGAGCAATAAATTAATTCTTTAGAAATAATGTGGGTCCGAGTAAATACGAAGGATGGATTAGATTATATGGTGTAGTTAAGAACGTTTTCATTGTAATATGCATTTCCAAGTATATTCTAAGACTTGTTTTAAATATGTATATTATATATGTATGTCGAAGATGAAAGGACACCGGAGACTTTCCCTCTGGAACTTCGGGAAAATCCGTAAAATTGTAATTAAAGTTTACAGCTGTAATTAAACAATTTGCCGTCATTCTACCCAGTTGTACTTATTTGCGATTTGTGATAATAAACTTGTGCTCAAGACGACCATCAGTCGCCGAACGTAGCCGCGGTCAATGGGACGGGCGCTTCGTCTAACAAAGGTGTGGAGTAATAGTATGACCCTCATTAAAAGAAATACCCATAGACACAATGAATACCAGATGTTAATGCTCTTACACGGCACAAGTTCAGTTAGCCTGAGGACCCGCTATAAAACCTAGGTTTTTGGTAATTAAGATTCTTCAAACGGACAGGCAGTCTTTGTCCCAAATTGATTAATTGACAGCGACGTCAATTTCCCTTACCTTTCGTAATAAAAATCGTATTACTTTAAGTTGATTCTTGTTGAACCTACAAAAAAGTAATAATTTCAAAACGATTGAAATTAAATTAAATAATTCGATCATTCACAGTAAATAGACTCCTAAATAACAACAAATAACTCTAGGTATTTAACAATTAAGTACTATTTTATAGCAGATTATGTCGGATATATATTTGTAAAAGGATTTATTGCAAAAGAGAGATATTTATTTTACACAACTGTCCTGCATGTAAATACATATGCTTATGTTTGGTTCCCACTGAATATTTTCATAGATTCAACGTTTTGAATGTCCTTGTGAATCTCCTTCTTGATTGTACCTGTAGCCCATATCTATACGTATATTCTCGCCATTAATCAATGGATTTTCGATGCATGCTTGAATCAAATGAGCGACCTCCTCGCAGGTTCCGTAGCGCTTTGGTGTGAGTTTCATTGCGATCCACCGTTTCCTTTCCTCTTCTTTATGTAGAGCTAAATGCGAGCAAGGATTTCAGTGATTCCACATTATTTACGGGCAGACATTTAAACGATAACAGTTTCTTAATGAACAAAGACTTCAATGAAATTATTATAGAATAATTTATTTATGACGTGCCTCCTCGAATTGAAATAAATCAAAAAATTGCGATATGAATTTTATGAATGGTTTATTACAAGCCATTACTTTCTTGTTAGAGAATGATAAACTCGTAGTTTGAAGGACTCGATGATTGACCCAAATTACTGATAGTTTGTGTCAACATATTGATAGTAACAAATATACATCTAAATACACATAATCGTGAATAAACTGTGAATGTTTATGCATTTATTCTGCATGCATGCTTTTTTTATTGCACGTATAAAAATAAAAATTCCTAAACATTGCATACTAGTTGTAATACTAACACACCTGTCATGGGGCTGTCTATGTAACCAGGACAAATTGTGATAACACGTATTCCTTGCGACGCGAGTCCTCTAGCTAAAGGGATCGTCATGCCGGAAACAGCGGATTTCGTGGCGCCATAAGCAACTAAACCAGGTGGTGGTTCATAAGCCATCATGCTCGAAAGATTTATAATGACTCCTCTTTGTTGATTTGAATCTGGTTTGTTCTTTGCCATCAAGCCGACCATTAAGCGCGTTACGTTAAATAAACCCCACACGTTAGTTTCGAAAACGCATCTGTACAGGTCAACAGAATGTGGCTTCTTGTTCTTGAAATCGTAGATATTTTCGTAGCCGACAACACCAGCAGAATTAATTAGTACGTTCACGCCGCCGAATTTCGCCTTCGCACATTCGATGCTCTCTAATACGTCTTTTTCGAGCCTCACCTAAATAGTATCATACAATTATTCATTATGAAAACATTATATATTACTATTAATTCAGAGTTTCGATAAAATATGAAAATTTTACAATATGAAATTTCAATCGGATTACTGTTATTTTGTTCGTTTTTTCGTCTTGTTAATTATTATCTTATAGAAATTTTGACACGGTTAATGGCATAAAGATCACCGATGTCTGGCGCACCAAAATTAGTAAAAATACATAATTCGAACAAATGTCAATAGTTACAAATTTTTTACTATTTCCATCGTTACTACAATAGTGTGATGAAATTAATACAGTATAAAACATATAAAAATAGTTTTATTGATACATGAAATATAGATCTATTATGTGCGCCCCCCCCCCACAAGTGGCTGTCGAACATGGGAAAATCCGCTTTTAGCTTAATGAATTATAACCCTAAGGAACGTAAGACCCTTGACAGTAAAGTAGACAATGCTAAATCCTGTGACCTGTCTTTAGAATTATTGCCGGTCCGAATAAGTATGACCGAGGTATGGATTCTTGTTTAAAGTAGGACCCGGGGCGTAAGAACATAGAAAAATTATTTAGCAACGCGAAGAAACAATATCAGATAATTCATAATCGTAAAAAATAAGTGAAGCGAGCGAAATTGCTTTATAGCGGAATGGGGACCGCCGGTGCCCTCAGTGAGATAAATTCATTAACACTTTGACTGCCATGCCGAAATCAGATGTTTCGCTCAGGACGCCACGCGAACATTTTTATTTTGCAAAGTATATAATGGCAAAATAATAACTTGATGATGTAAAACAACATTCAATTGACCGTTTATCTTACAGGTGACCACTCTGGCGCCTTGCTGACAACTGGTAGCGACATATTATAACAAGTCTTCGTTTATTTCAACAAACCATTCGCATTTGTTATTTCGTCGTAAGCGAAACGTCCAGAATATATTGTTGAAACGTGTAGAAGATATTAGTAAAGAGTACTATATTCTAGTACTATATTCTAGTATTCATTTTATATATAAAAGTAAGATATGTGCGCACTTCTAACTTCAATTATATGATTATAAACCAGCATTTACGATAATTTTCTAAGGTGTGTTTATAATAATATTCGTAGATTACCCCTCAAAGATATGGACGTTAGATGCACGATTTGTTCTCTTTTTTTTTTTTTATTGATATTCCAATAAAAATGTTTAATTGTTCAATGGGGCACTTTTTGTTTCAAAGTATCATCTATTTATCGGTTATATTCAAAATGCCCTAACTGTCAATTTTCACACAATTTTTACAATTGTATGAAGTGTCAAACGCTCCGGTCACCAATGACCACCGTGGCGTCACAGGAGATACCGTGGTCGATCATATATGACCAACGTGGCAGTCAAAGTGTTAATGATGATTATACAGAGATATATATCTCTTGTAGGTAATATTTCAACATTATATGTATCGCATAATAAAAAATTCATCGCGACACCACCGCCAAATCTTGTCAAACTTTTGTGGCATTCAACGTGTTAATATTCTATTAGGTTGGTCTACATTAAATGAAATTTGAAATCCACCTAGTTTCTTCGATATATAAGTATAAATATAAAGTAATTTCTTTCTTATTTAATGTATTTTTTTCGACCGTATTCGCGGGGAGACGCGTTCGCGATATAACGCGTCAATGACACTCGTAATTTCTCGTCTGGATACGGTAATCGACGCCACGAATCAGCCGATCGCCTATTTCGATTAAAATGATAGAGGTGGTTTGAATGATATTCACACCGAGTTAACAATTAAAATATCGCTTAATACTGGGTTATCAATTAAAATATTACTATTTCTTTCCAACAATCTTTGAAGAATATAAATGTCTACGAATGTTATGTGTGATAAATGTAGAAGTGTTTTTAGCGAAACGTTATTCGGTGACAATGATGTCGGGAAGGAAAACCGACCAAAGGTCACTCGTCGATGGAAATGGCCTTCGAGTACCGTACAGGAAAGAACCCCTAAATTTTACGACACCAATTAACGGTTCCTTGGGATTATATTTGAGAATACATTTCAATAGCTTTTAACTATCTTGGCCGAAAGACGGATTAGAGCATATGGTAGAATTACGAGACATAACAACTTTTTTGGAAACTACTTCTTCTCATTATGTAAGTATTATTTATTGTATGTAATGGTAAATAGTAACAGAAAATTTTATTCAATACATGAACGAAACGATATATAAAATAATGGAGTTGTGAAACGTTTTCGAAGGAGTTAAGAATATTTACTATTTCCTGATATCATTTTATTCGATATAAATGATAGGTTTATTGGGAGAAGCGGTGGTAAGAAATTTTACGAGCAATTGAACTTACGTCGGTACACGTAAATAAAGCTTTTTCGCCCAATCTCTCGGCAACTTTAGCTCCGTTGCAAGATATATCGGCCAGAACCACCTTGGCACCTTGACAATAAATTTTCTCCGCGACAGCCTTCCCGATTCCGTTGGCACCTCCAGTGATGTAAGCAACTATATGCTAAAATTCGTTATTAATAATCCATAAATCCATGATTATTAATTTTCCTACTTCTTCCGTAATCTTTCTTAATTTTGTATTATTATATTTATCAGAAGAAATTTCATAAATCAATGAATCTACGATTTAATGATTGCATGAAGTTCTATTTTCCGTATGATGAATTTCGTTTTAAAGCGCGGAAATAATGTTTAAAAAATTCAGCAACAATATTGTCTGCAGCGTATTACCTAAAATATAGAGAAGAAAATTATTCCAACATTACCTGCAATTTCCCCATTTTGACATTCCTGACATTACACACCAGGGGGCTGAAATTGGATGTCTCTTGTTCCTTACTTCCCTTCGTTTGCTCTAAGAAGATTTCAAGTTAGTCAAGTACTTTGAATATTCTGAAAAAAGGGAAAAAATCTTTAAAAAATCTGAATTTTCCTCTGCTTCCACTATTTAAGTGGCAAATATTACACGATGCTATTATTTTCACGAAATTTTTTCAAGCATATACCACAATAAATGCTTAACAAAATTTCAGGAAGATTATGTAGGAGAAAAACGTGATAAGCAATTTAAAAGTTCTTTTTATCAAAAATGTTGGCTTTCGTGATATTAGACGTTCAATGTCATAGGAGTGAAGTCGCATAAGTCGATTTTTACATGCAATAAATTTAGATTCTTGTTGTTTTGATTGTTAAAAAATGTCACAGATTTATCTATTTCCGGAAGGCTTATATCTTTGATCCTAAGAAATAAATTATTACCTTTCCAACTACCTTAATCGAATCGAAAAATATAAAATATAAAAATCAAAAAACCGATAAAAATGCGCTTGTCTCGTCATTTTCTTATGTAATCTTAAAAAAATTCAAGAAATTTAAGGAAATTACATTACTTGCCAATTTGTACAGGGTTACGTCTATTCTTCCGTTAAGTTATTTAGTGGATATATCTATCTTTTCTAATAATTTCTGATTAGTTGCGATGATGCATGGTTAAAATATCATAAAATGGCAATTGAAGATGAACGACTGTCATTCCGATTTACCTTCGGTATTCGATGCTCTTCACGAGTATAATCGATGAAAATGAGATCTAGTTAACACTGAAAGTTTAATTTTTTATATAATCACAATCATTAAATTATTTTTTTATCAAAGGAAAATTGATTTTAATCTTCAAATTATTTCTTTACCAAATCTATCATAATATTCGAGCCGTTTCTCTTTTCCAAATCAATGTAGTCTAATTACAAATCCTCCAATTTGTCAAATCGATAATAATTTTCCAACTATCATTATTTCTCAACTTATGCAATCTGTTCTAATTTATTTCGTTTATGAATTTATTTTCTTTTTAATTTGCATTTGAATTTTATCGGAATGGTAACCAATGAGCTCTAATTCACCAAATTAGCAATTAAATCTTTATGAGATTAATAGCAAAATAGATTTTTACCACATGTAAATTCATCTTTGACGCGCCGATCCGATAAGGCGGCAATGTCAGTCGGACGATATAACCTAATTCTCGACGATTAAATGCAACGGTTTCGATAAGGCTTGTAAATTGAGCGAATTATGCCGTTGGTACCGGTACACGACGTGGCCTCAACCGATTAACATGCGCATTACGCGAGGTTGGAACGCTCAACCTGACATTTGCATTGGAACGTGTCGAACAACCTGAGACCTCTATAACACCTGGTGCCGTCGATTACTTGTTTCATTGATCGTAAAGTGCATTCTTAAAACATCTTTTGAATTCATTGAAGAAAAGGTACTGACATTTACTTACAATTTTTACATAAATCTTTTAGAACAAAACATGAAACAATTCAAGCTTCTCTATATCAAGATTTGTAGGTATAGAATTTTAATGGAAAAAAATATATCAAATGAAATGTATAATCCTTTGATCATTTCTTTCATTTTTTATAGATCTACAACGATGTATTCTGAGAGATTTTATTGGAAAAATTATCATTTCATTATTCTTCTCGATATATTTCAATGTGAAATATTCTTTAGGCATAAAACGAAGTGAAAGATTCAGTTATTTGTTACACAGAAGATACAACTGATCGACATTTTTTGTTATCGTCTGTATTCAGACTCGTTGAGGACGCACTTCCCTCTTGAAGGAAATGAAGACCAGTTCGTGGCAAAGAAAGCCCAAACGAAATCGGTCACGTTAACAGAACGACCGATGGAAACATTTCGTTCTGATCTCCGACAAATTGTTAGTTCGTATGCTCGACCAATTTCAATCCTCCTCTAGTTCCAATTTCCTGCGCGTCATTACCGGTGTTCGTAGAGCCACGGTGTCGAGGACCACGAGAAATCTTACAGCGTTCCTCTCGTTGGAAGAAACCAGTTCCATCCTAACAGTTCGCTTCTGTTCGCGACAGTCATCGGCTTTCGTTCTGCCGCCATATCCGCACCTTTCTCACCCTCCACGACTAATCGTCCCGC